CAACAGTGGTGGATGACCGGAGGATCCTCTCCATGGTAAAGAAAAACCCTTTCACAACACCCAGCCAAGAGAAGAACACTCTCCAGGAGGTAGGCATGTCACTGTCAAAGTTTACAATCAAGAGAAGACTTCACGAGAACACAGAGGGTTCACCACAAGGTGCAAACAAGGCCAGATTAGACTTTGCCAAAAAACATCTAAAAAAGCCAGACCACTTCTGGAAAAGCATTCTTTGGACGGCTTAAATTGAGATCAACCGGTACCAGAATGACGGGAATAAAAAAGTATGGAGAAGGCTTGGAACAGCTCATGATACAAAGCATACAACGTCATCTGTGAAACATGGTGGAGCAGTGTGATTGCATGAGCGTGCATGAGTTCCAGTGGCAGTGGGTTATTGGCGTTTAGTGATGATGTGACAGAAGACAGAATCAGCCAGATGAATTCTGAAGTGTATAGGTATATACGGTACTCTCTGCCCAGATTCAGTCAAATGCAGCAAAGTTGATTGGGCGGCACTTCATATAGTACAAATCGACAATGAACATTTTTGAAGGTAAAAAAGTGGAATATTCTGCAATGGCCAAGTCAATTTCCTGATTTCAACCCACCTTATAGACTACTTCATTTACTCTATTTTCTAACTCAACAGGTCTCAAATGTACCCGTTGTAGAATAGCTGATGTCTCTTTATGAATGAATGGATATTCATGCCAGACAATGCTGAGTAATAAATAGCAGTGAACATTCGGACTAGGGGTGTCCTGGGATTTTACTGTAGTGCTATAGGCTACATGCTGTGTATAGTGAGAGAGGCGGGCAAAGATAAACTGATGTAACTGTTCGCTTTTTTTCCTTTTAGCTTCTCCCAACCACCTTTATCTTCACGTCTTTTGCTTGCCATCACGAGCCTTCTCTCCTTCGCGTCAGTTTCGGTTTCTTATAAGCAAAAATAGATTGCATTAGCACCCCCTTTTGTTGGTCGTCAACGTCACTTAATCTGATACTTTTTCTTTGATGATGAACCAGCCAGGCCGACGGCCGTTCTGGACTTCTCCAGAACTTCCAGATGGCCAGTCCGCCCCTGCATGCTTAGCAAAGCAACACAAACAAAAAGGAGGAAACCCAGTCTCTGGTGATGTCCATGAGTTCTAGACTTAAGGCAGTCAAAGGCCTGCAAAGGATTCTCAACAAAATATTAAAAATGAACATTTTATTTATGATTATATTTATTAGTCCAATTACATTTGAGCCCCTGAAAATGGCTGAGTGTGTATAAAAATGGTTGTAATTCCTAAGCATTTTATGTTATATTTTTGTTCAACCCCTTGAATTAAAGCTTAAATTGTTTCATTTTAATTCTATTCTGGTGGCATACAGATCCACAATTATGAAAATTGTGTCAGTGTCTAAATACAGTATATATGGACCTAACTGTATCTTAAAGGGGTCATCGGATGGGACATGCACTTTTACAAGTTGTTTGAACTGAAATTTGAATTGGCAGTGTGTGTACACAACCACCCTATAATGATAAAGATCCACCCAGTGTTTTTTTTTTTTTTAATCTTGTTAAATCATTTCCCCTTTCTCATATCAAGCCATTCTCAGATGCCTGTCTATGTGACGTCACACTGACAGGCCCCTCCCACGATTGTTTGATTGACACTGGCGTTTTACCTTAGACCCGCCCTGAGTGAGCTGTCATCAGTCCGCCATTGTTTCCCCGCCGGAGCAGGGGTAGACAAGAATGGATCCTAAGCGATTGAGGTGTTTTGTTGTTGGATGTAATAATGAACATAGCAGTCATCATTTACTCCTGACATCTGAGCCACTGAAGACGCAGTGGATTACCATTGTTTTTGAAGGGAATGTGTCTCCCGATCTACCTAAATGCGTCTATGTTCGCGTGAATCATCCGTGATCCAGCCTTACCTACAGAAGAAGTGAGTATAAGGTTCTTTAACACTACCATTGAGAAATTTTAACCAAAGTATATTATAGACTTTTCATTAAGACCCTAAATAATCATATTAACTTGTGGAAAATGGGCATCCTATGACCCCTTTAATTTGTGTTCCAAAGATGAATGAACATCTTATGCGTTTGGAACGACATGAAGGTGAGTAATTAATTACAGAATTTTCAGTTTTGGGTGAACTATCCCTTTAAACAGGATTGCAACAAAAGAGTAACAGCAATAAAATTAGTAAAAAGAACAACTTAATAATTAGGTATAGGGAAAATAATTAAAAAAGAGCTCAATAAAGCACTTGGAATTAATGAAACAATGTAGACTATCAACTAAACTTAGTGTATGATTACAAAACAGCAATGTACTAAAAACAAAAACGTTTTTCCTTTGTGGTTTTGAAAATATTCACATATAGACAATATCAAAATGATTCCTGTTCACACAGATCTGTGAAAACGACTAAAAACACGTTATTATGCATGTCAGGCCAGTAGTTGACGACGTCACTTTGTAAAGAAACACTATGCACCTGTGCACATACCTATAGACTGAACAAATAATACACATGCGCATAACGTCACCAAACTCATTTTGTAGTTTACTCAGAGACGATAATGGTATCGTTTTAAAAAAAACTTGCCCTTTGAAACCAATTTTCAAAACCAGTTTGCGTTCGTAGATGAAAAAACCTATCTCTCTCTTTCTCTGTCTATCTGTCTGTCTGTGTCTAAAACATCAGCGAGGTTTTTTTTCCAATTGTTTTTCATAATCTTTCATCTTTAGTATGTTTAATTTTGGTTGACTGAAAGAATGAATGAATGAATGCATGTCCAAAGGAATTCAAGAAAACAAATAGAGTGTCTTCCAGCTAAAAAAGCATTGACCAGGACCATCTGCTGTCTCCTCCATAGCGTATGTCTCCGGTCTGGCAGAGAGAGACAAAGTATTCCACTGAATTATTACAAGATGGAGAAGAGACCCAGAGATACTGTTTTTTAAACTCTGAAAATGAGTTTGGAAGCATCCCTTGTCTATCATTTATCTTTTCTTTGTCTTCTGGTAAGGGAAGTTTTACTTTAGTGTAACATTACATGTGGAAAACACCTTTTGCATGAAACAGTCTCCTTTTGTTATAACTGAAAGGTGCAGTGTAATGTTTTCACAAGATTCCTAGCCTGTTATGCACATGCTTGTACTTCAGCATGGTATTCTTTTCTTGACCACATAAATCTAGACTTACCAAATATATTGGTAACTCTGGCCTTTAGTGTGACCAACTTCAAATACGGTAAGATCTATTTTCGTTAAAACATAGGGAAGGACTTTTGTCTGTTTTGAGGAACAGATGAAATGTCATGATTGTTTGTCACTTGTGTGGGTGGAATGCACAAAGAAGGAACCACAAGTTTAAAGTGTGAAAAGTATATCTGCTCTAAAGTTGCATGCAACAACATTGGAATTCTTCTATCATTGCTACTGTAGTTTATTAACTACACTGTCATGAGTGTCAGGTAACATTTTGAAAGACATATTGTAGTATAAACAATTTTGTTGATTGCAAAGTGCTTCGTATACATTTTTTATCTTACTGATCTACTTAGTAATGATGTGAAACTATAGGCCTAAGGTTTTAAAATTATTCCAGAATATAACAACTCTCACAAAGCAATTCACAGGCAGTTTTTTAAATTATTAATTTTGTACATTCCAGCTGGAAATTAAATGCAGTTGTTTGTAATGTAAATTAAGTACAGTACATTGAAATTAATGTACTAAATTATTTTGTCTGTACCGCTTTCACAGCTATCAAAATTATGTTATAAGAACGTTTTGCTAACATTCCCAGTAAGTTATGAAAATTTTGTTTCTGAATGTTCTCAGAATGCTCAAAACATCCAGTTTTTAAAATATTTAAAAACATTTTTTTCTTGGCTATGCAAACATTATGGAAAATATAAAGGGAACATTCCATTTTATCATTTTACAAACATTGTGGGAACATTTGAATTTCCCTGAATGTTCTGAAACAAGCAGTACATATTAACATTTAAAAAAACCTTAGACATAAATCCAATGTTTCACGGACTAAATGTTTATGTAGTAACTTTTTGAGAGCAATAATAAAAACCAGATAACGCTGAAAAGTTATATTAAGGTTTCTGGAGAAATGTTCATAACACTTGTTGTTCATAAATTTTATGGAACCTTGCCAGATCATTAGTCAAAGTTCCCAGAACATTCCCTGTTAGCTGGGTTCACTCATTAACACTGACACACACACACACACACACACACACACACACACACACACACACTTTCAGAGTCAAAGTGAGGGCTCTTTGTTTTCTGTTCAGCGTATTTTTTGCTGGTTATCTGCTTTCTCTCTTCCTCTTGATACAACTTCCTCTAGAGAGAATTTGTTCCTGTCTCTGTGATACTGACACTCTCCAGGTGGCTCAGCATTGTCAGTCATATACTATACGTAACACCTGACAGTTATAAATAAAAGCATGTTTACATGTACTATGATGTTGAAACCACTGATATTTGCATATTTTGATTCTATGTAACATTATAAAGAGAAAGTGCCCTTTATATGGTTTTTGTGTGTGCAGTCACAGGCCTAGTTCCTGTTCTCTGTCTCCTAGTAGTCCATCTGTTTCCTCAGGCCAGACAGTGTCTCTTCTCTGCTCACATTCACATCTCCTTTCGTAGCCTCCGCCCACTAACCCAGCTCTTGCACCATCACCAAAGGTTGAAGTTGGTGCACACCACAGTTTCTGTGCTTTATATCTTTATGTTGTTATTTCACACAATCTGTGACAGGATATCAACTGTGGTCTAGGTTTGCAGCAGATAAAGTTTTACAATAACTACACACAGCTTGTTTGGCATGCACATTTCATGTGGGACACATTTAGTTAGAAAACTGTCAAAAAATATTTGACAGTATGTGCGTTTTACTGAGTGTGCAACTCAAATCACAATATAATGCAGCAGTATTCAGAGTTTCCATCCAAATATGTCTTTCATGATAAGTTTATTATGTGTATATAAAGCGGACAGACATCTTGGCTAAGAATAAAACAAATGCATAGGAGTGCAAACACAAATGATCATCTCAGAAATGTCAATGTTGAGTGAAAAGCAGAGGGGAGAGTAGTATATATTTACTCATTATGGAATAGCTTGCTATTTTACTACTGGGATGATATTTTATTTTTGTGTCTGTTGTGTCTGTTGAGCTTCTGGATGTACTCTCAGAGAAAAAAACAGCAATGTAATGAACATTTAATATGACAAAAAAAAGTGGTAGCCTATAAAGGTTAATTTGATTTCAAAAAGTCGTATCATTGAGAGTACATTTTGTGCGTCCTCCAGTCCAAACCTACGATATTTAAATACTGAAAATTGCTATCAGCGGTTGTTTGAATTCTGGGAACAGACGACAAATTTGGAGGTCCGCTATTATTAAATTATTACTTACACAGAAAATATGCACAAAACGTCTGCTCAGCGACTGACAGTCTTTATATGTTGACACTGTGGAAAAAAACTACACATTCGTGGCGCGTAACGAATGGAAAGGTGAGTGTCCGAGAAATGTGTTTGAATAACAGTTCCCAAAATTGAGTCCACTTCACTCCCTGCAAAAAACGTACTCGGTGTAACTCGTCCAGATTTTGTCCTCGTTGGGGTCGTTACTCGCGTACGCGCAGGTGCCAGTGGAGCTGCACGCAACCATGTGGAATCCCACCTCCGTCAGCCTGTCAAAGGCTTGCTCCAGGAAATTATACTTGAGGTAATACCGAGAAGTGTATCTTTCTGGGGGTCTGTCAGGGTCTCTGCTCTCGTTCAGAGTCTCCCCGAAAACTTCTTTGGCGAGGGATGTTTTTCCGCACACGGTGATTCTCGCCACCCGTCGAAATTTGGCGTCCTGTTGGATGTCTCGTCCTATGGTATAGGAGCCCCTGTACCCAATGGTTATGTAGCCGTTTTTCTTCGCCTCCAGAGACGGAGAGCGAGGGCCGGTGCTGGTGATGCTGGTGCTGGCGAGCGCAGCCTCCTCTGGGTCGCTCTGGCACACCTCCTCGCTGATGGAGTTCTCCTTACTGACCGCCGGTCTCAGGCGCTTTGCCAGCTCTTGAAGTTGGAAATATTCTGCCTCTTTAAGAAGGCTCGCCTTCTCTTTGAAGTAATCAGGCAAAACCAGAGTCTGGTCCCGCAAGTAATCCAAAATATATCTGAACAGAAAGCCGTCCCTGTCCAAAAAGTAGCGTCCTTTGCTGTCGGTGGTAAGTTCCGCCGGTTTTTTCTGGCTGAACATGGTCCAAAGTAAAGAACTGGGCACTGAGAGTAAAGTTGAGTGGCGCGTAACGTAAACTTGCCCCCCGACATTGAGCTCAATAATTTCGGGAAATCGCTGGGAAGGCTCCTCGCGACTCTTGTCCATCTCTGCACAGCTGCGCGAGACCTCCGGTGCAATCACGGGACTGAAGAAGAGTGGAAAGGAATATTTTAGCTTTGTTTATGTAGGCTAAACAGAGTTACGTAGGAGGAGGAATCTGACGGCTGTATTAACTCTTTACTACCACCCCGTAAAACACGAAATGCACTGTGATTTGCTTAAAACTTGTGCAGTAGGCTATTATCTGACTGCTGGAAATGTTCTTAATTGAACAATTTTGCCATTTTTTTCAAAGTATACTGGATGGACCTATATTTTACAGCTGCAAATCTACAGAATTCTTTTAGGGTGATTTCAGATTTTATTTTATTTGTATTTATTTATTAATTTCTTTATTTTTACCTCTTTGGTGTGTCCCCCTTTTCGCACACGTTGTCATTTGTGTGCAAATTGAGGATTCTTGTTATCCAGTATGATTCGAAGAGGTTCCAAAGACCAAGGAATGTTCCAATGGAAGCATTTTTAAAGTGGATTCCACATGATTGGCGCAACAAATGTGTTATTTTGATTGCTCACAAAGAAATATTGCAGAATCTGTTTTTTTCTTTTAAAGTGTCCTTGTTGCAGTGTAATTATACAATATCACTATAGGTTAGGGTTACGGTCAGTTGCATGTAATTATGTATAATTTATTGTTATTAGGCTACTTTAATAAGTACATGTAACATGACAAGGATACTGTTAAAATATGTTACCCAATAAAATTCCGGTAACGCTTTATTTTAAGGTGTCCTTGTTACACATGTTACATGTTACTATTGTAATAATAAATTATGCATAATTACATGCAAGTAACCCTAAGACAAACCCTAATCCTAACCCTAACCATATAGTGTGTACATGTAGTTAATTGATATTACTCAGTACTTAAATGTATAATTACACTGTAACAAGGACACCTTAAAATAAAAGTGTAACCAAATTTCTTAATACGTTCTTAATACACTTGTATTAAAGGTGTATTAAAGGTGTTGCCGTAATGTGAACACCTTTGGAGTTTGGAAACGAGTAGTCTATAAAAGTTGCATTTTCATTAAACATTCACTGACCACTGAACCAGTGAAATTTGCTTATTTGTAGATCGAAACACAAGGGTTTATTTGATTATATAGCTATATTTTTTCTTTGCCTGTGGGTGTATGGTCTATTTCTGAAATGTGATATCCTTTGGGAGTTGTTTATGCTGATTTATATACATATAAATGATATTATTTACTTTATGCAAAACGTCTAGATAATGGAAACGGGCAGCTCAATGTCTTTGACAGCAAAGCTTCTAGCGACATCTAGTAGGCAAGGAGGAGAAGCAGTTCAAGGATTGTGCTTACCTCTGCATCCGAAATTGAAGCTTCTGAATTAAGCATCTCGCTGGGTTCTCGGTCAGTAATAGACATTATGTAGTAATATTAGTCATTTCAAAAATAGTAAAAAAAGTAGGAAGTTACAACTCTGAAACGCGAACAGTCATTAGAAGTATGACATGTACGATCTGGATAGCTCCATTTATAGGCCTACTAGAGATGTACACCCTTTGTGCAGTAGGGGGAGCTCCCTACATAAAAATTCCAAATGTGACCCTGGACCACAAAACCAGTCATAAGGGGCGATTTTTTTAAATTGAGATTTATACATAATCTGAAAGCTGAATAACTAAGCTTTCCATTGATGTATGGTCTGTTAGGATAGGACAATATTTGGCCGAGATACAACTTTTTTAAAATTTGGAATCTGAGGGTGCAAAAAAGACTGAGAAAATCGCCTTTAAATGTGTCCAAATTAAGTTCTTAGCAATGCATATTACTAATCAAAAATTAAGTTTTGATATATTTACGGAAAGAAATTTACAAAATATCTTCATGGAACATGATCTTTACTTAATATCCTAATGATTTTTGGCATAAAAGAAAAATTGATCATTTTGACCCATACAATGTTTTTTTGCCTATTGCTACAAATATAGGACCAGCGACTTAAGACTGGTTTTGTGGTCCAGGGTCACAAATAGTCAGTTTTTCCATTGGGTTCTGCAGCGTACATAACGCTCAGCTTGTCTTTTATAGACAGTTTTTATTGGATTCTTCAGGATTATTAAAAGCAGTACTAAAATTTATTTTTCTACCAAGTTAACGCTGTAATAATAACACTTAATAATTCCAAATGCTGTTTTATAGAGGGAAACTGTCTAAAAGTGACAAATGATAGGCCTACATTAGACACTTACATAAGTCCAAATTGCAATAAACCCTTCAGAACAACAAAAACACAGCACACTACTGTAGATTTCATCTCCAAAAACAACAACAACAACAATTCTCAGATTCAGGAAATGCAACACATATGCTGGTTAGTCTCTTGTAAGCAAAACATTTTATAAACAAAATGCAAAACGCTATCTAGAGAACGGTCCACACATCATTGACTCCTAAAGAAGCTCTTCATAAATTTCCCAGAAGGCCCATTCAGTGTGCTGGAGTGTGGGAATAGTTCTCCATCATCAGACCACTGAGACACACTTACGACTGTGGGCAGCTGGGAAACCTCTATTTGTTTATAAAGCGTTTCCTTCATCTCAGTTTGCTACAGTTCATTTAGACATTTAGACAGCTTTGCATTTTTTTTTTGCAAGGGTAAAATGTTGCAAGAACAGAAAGGTTTAGTGTGTTTCTCAAAACAACTAATACAGGTGCTCTGGCTTTTTAAATGATCTGTTATACTATCCTGCATTTTCAATTTCTACCAATCCATTAAAAGAATATCTCAAAATGACAGAATATTTTCTTCCGTTTAGTAACAACTGTCAAAACAAATTGAGATTTCAGTGAGCAGAGCATATTATTAAGCAATGCTGACATGCTGCAGTGTAAGGCTTTGCTAGCGTTTTATTTATTTATTTGACATTCATCTCATGGCTCATGTAAGGAAAAACAGTGCAAGCTCACCCCCTTGTGGCTGATTGCGCCTCACATGTCAACTGATCCTAAATACGCGGTACAGTAGCATTTTGCTGCATTTATGTCCTTGACAGACTTGTGCAAACACATCATTGCTCACTTGCCGATATTCAGCTCAGCAATTTTGAGACACCACTCTATGTCAGAATTTAACCACTGACGGTTCAAAATAGAGCATGTAACCCTGAGATATCTGAAGAAAGCACACTTCATTAGACAGCTGCCTTCATCTCGGCTATGCATGGTGTCATTCTGCTGAGATTGACACAGGAGTGGAGTCATTTCATTATGCATGTTAGCAGGGCATCTGTGTGAGAGTTGCAGTATTGATCCCATGTCTTTCTGTCTATTAGGAAAGGTCAGACACTGTTGGGAGAATCAGATAATTGGGCGTCAGTGTAGATGAATATCACAGTGATGTTTTTGTTCATTGGATGGTGTCCGGTAAAGTGGATAGACTGAGCATGTAGCACTTAAACCTTAAATTTCCTTCTGTTACGCCTCCACATCATTTCCTGTATTGGAGTGGAGGAAAAAAGCCGTTCAGTGAGTCGGAAATAATGAAGGTCATCTGCAGATTAGCTATTTGCTATAGTGGTACATTACTCATATGATTAAATAATCTGAGCTTGGTGGCAGACCTTAATAGTCACATAATTTTTACAGCTATAGCCTGATGCTCAGATATTTTGGCTATAATTATGTATGCACAGAGTTCTGATGTAATCATATTGACACAACAAGTATTGTCTTTTTTTAAAGAAAGTCTGTATCCTGAAGTGTTATATATAATATATATAATTAGGGCAATTTATCAAACGAGCTGCAAGACTCCTGCACCGTTTTCTAATTGATTTCATTTCTCAGCAGCTGGTTTGTTCCATACAGACTGACAGCCTCATTTGTAAACATAATGATTAGTCAATGAATCACCTTCTACCCGTCTGGCTTTTCATATACAGTTTAGTCAATGACAATGAAAAACGAAAGGAACACAATGATTTTAGAGCCATATAATATTTTGACAATAAAGTTGAATATAGTTCAGAAGTCTTTTATCAATAGTTAATAATAATAATAGGAAGAAGAAAAATAGATAGATAGATAGATAGATAAATAGAACACATTGATTTTGAGTTATATATTTTAATCTTAACACAGAGTTTTAGGAATATAAATCAGAAGTCTTTCATCAATAGCAATTCAAGAAAATAAGAAAAATAATAATAAATAAATAAAAGGAACACAATTATTTGGATTCATAGATTTTCTTGAGTATAATATTTGTTGTTTCAGGAATATAATTAAATCAAGCCTTTCATCAATAGTTTTTAAAGAAATTCATAATTTAAAAACTACAGTAGCGTAATTATACTTATTATAGCTATTATTTTAACCATAATTATTATTGCAATTTTATTTATGATAACTATTTTATAATAACTATTTTACAATGTAGTTAATTAATATAACTAATTACTATAATTATATGTTATTATACTGTAATTATATTGCATTGCTATTTTTCTAACATTGTTCTGTCTGGCAATTTTATAATACACTTAACTGTACACCCAATTTATGGGTTATGATTATAATATGAATATATTAGTGTAGATGCTCAAATCACTAGTTCCCTTTCAAGGGAACTTCGAACTGCGTCCTCTAGGGGTCGCTATGGGGAACGCCTCGTCGTGACCCGTGTCTGAAGCATACATTGAAAAAACACCAACAACACGTTGGCCGGCGACAGCCCATGACGTCACTACCGGTGCGACTATAGTATAAATAGGCGCCGGGAGAACATGTTATTCTGTTCTTCGTCTTCACTGACCGTTTTGTTTGAAGCGTGCATTTCCATGGTAAGAGCGATCTATATTCCTATCGTTATGGCGAGCACTAGCAAAGCGTTTAGAAGGTGTGTGCATCGTGTTTTAAATCAAATATTCACATTGTTTGATATGAGCCTTGAAAATAAACGTACAGAAGGCACACTGGTCAGCAGCAACCAATTGGAGATCAACAATGCAGTCTTTTAAAAACTCACAGAATGCCCTCTTCTTCTAAACTGTCTATCAAACGCTTTTGTCAGGTGACACATTGGACTGCGGGCTGAA